ACAGAGGCTGGGGGGATCACGAAGACCTCCAACCACCAACGGCTTCAGTTTGTGGGTACCAGTCAAGTTGGCAGCCAAGAGCACAGTGACGCGCTGGCGAGGAGCCGTTCGCCCAGGGAGCAGCTTCCAATAGAGCCCAGTGATGTTGGCGTTGTAGATCTGTTCATCACCATAACCTCCAGTGTCAGAACCCGGTGCTGGTGGAAGGTTGGGATGGGCAATGGAAGCGCGTTCAGGTTCAGCATGCAGAGCACCTTCACCGTAGATACGTTGACTGGAGATGCCGTGACGCTTCTGCCAACGCCAGAACCAACCATGACTTGCCTTGAAGGTACACTCAGGGCCGTAGATCTGACGGGCAAAGGCTTCTGCTTGTGCTTGGATGAGAGGCCCAGAAAGTGGCACACCGTGCTGCCGGAGTGCAAGAAACCACGCATATACAGCACGGTCTATCTCCTCTTCATTGGCCAACCGCATCTTCTTGCGTTGGGTGCCCACCTCCCCACCCAACTGCTCTAGGAACCAACGCAGCTTGGCTTCATCCTTCAGCCAACCCCGTAGGGTTCCCCCTGGCACCCCAAAAGCACGGCACACCGAAGCTTGCCGTTCTCCTTTCTTTACCCGCTCGATGGCATGCAGCTTGTCCTTGATGGAGTACGCTCGGCGGAACGCCATCTTCATTGACACGCCAACACCGCCACCATTGGAGATGCCACCACCACTGGAGGAGCAGCCACTGCCACTACTGCCATTGGAGGTGCCACCACCATTGGAAGTGCCACCACCATTGGAACTGCCACCAGCGTTGGAGGTGCCATTGCCATTGGAGGAGCCACCACTGCTACCATTGGAGGTGCCACTGCCATTGGAGGAGCCGCCACTGCTACCATTGGAGGTGCCACCACCATTGGAGGTGCCTCTGCCATTGGAAGTGCCACCACCATTAGAAGTGCCACCACCACCACCACCACCATTGGAGGTGCCTCTGCCATTGGAAGTGCCACCACCATTGGAGCTGCCACCGCTGCCGCCGCCGCCACCACCACCACCACCACCGCCGCCACCACCCTGCCGCCCTCCCGCCATGCCAGCCGCTCCCCCACCCACCTCCTCTTCCTCCCCAGCCATGGAGCAGCCATGCGGTGCGGGTATTACTATTATTTTGTTATTTGGGGGTGGGTTTTTTTTTTTAGCGGTGCGCGTTATAAGCGGGGCGGGGCGGGGCGGGGCGGAGCCGCCCTTTGTCTCCGCTCCGACCCCCGGAGGCGGCAGGGAAGGGCGGGGCGACACGTACAGCGCATGCGCGCACCCCTCTCCCCGCCTTTAGACCGCTCCGCTCTCCCCCCGCTCTCCCACGAAGTTGGACTCTCCCTCTACGCTCCCGATGCGTTTGGAATGTACCACTATGCGCGCGAGGGGGGGGAAGTCTCCTTTTTCACCCTTCCTTTTTCCATCTCTTCCTTCTCTCTTCTCCCACCCCGCGCTCTTTACGCGGATTCTTAAATCTATCGAAGAAGGTGTGATTCTCCCTCACCGCCTTTCAACGTCGAAAAGTACGCGTTATTTTTTTTATCCCCCCCCCACCCGCGCTGCTGCCTCGAGTGGTCCGCTCTGCTCCCACAATGCCCTGCGCGCGAAACGCTGCTCTCCTTTTGCCCCGCGGAGGCCGAGCGGGGCGGTGCTGGGCCTCAGCGCTGCCGGTGAGTGATCCCCGTTCGGCTTCCTCTTCATCGTTGAGGGCTCTCCCTGTGGTCCCTTCGTTCCTCGTCCCCTCAGACGGATGAGAGGTGTGGGGTTAGGGGCTGGGACGGTCTCCCCGCTTGTTCTTTAGGGGCTGGAAGGCATAAGGAGTAACGCATGCCCTCCCAAAATCTGTGAGGCCGCTTTTTTTCTTATGGAGGAGTGCCTTTAGGTCATTCATAACGTGATGTTCGCCAAACGTGAGGCTGTGTTATCTTTTAGGGCCCCTCTCCTTGTCCCAGGTTTAAGGAAAGGGGATTTCGGGCTCCCATCTCATTGGGGCTTCGGGGGAAAGAGGGGTTGGGGGTGGGGAAGACACTTATACTCCCATGCACCCCCAAAAAAGAGGATAGGAGGGAGCTTTTGTCATTTATACCTTCATATACCCCCAAAAAAAGTGAATAGGAAGGGGCTTTTGGTCACTTATACCCCTTATCCCCCAAAAAAGGAGGTTAGGAGGAGGCTTTTGGTCACTTATACCCCTGTATCCCCCCCAAAAAAGGGGGATGGAAAGGGGCTTTAAGTCATTTATAACCCCATATCCCTCCAAAAAGCAGGATAGGAGGGGAGTTTAGGTCATTTATACCCCATGTCCTCCCCAGAAACGAGGATAGGAGCAGAGTTTAGGTCATTTATGCCCTCCCATCCCCCCAAAAAGGGAGGTGTGGGGGGGTTTTAGATCACTTATATTCCTACATTCCCACCCCAAAAAAAGAGGATGTGGGGAGGCTCTATGTCATTTATGATGTCCTTGGTTATCTCTGAGACCCCATCACCTTTCTCAAAAGGATGTGGGGAAACCTCTGTTGCCTGTTGTTGTCTCTTATCTCAGGTTTAAGGAATGGGAGACTGTGGGGTCTCAGGTTGTAGGAAGATGGGTGTAAGAGCACCCATTTACCTGAGGCTTATCTTCCAGCTCCGTTCAGGGTTTTCCCCTTACCCATTCTTGGTTTGGAGCTGGGAATCGTGCAGCATTGAATTCCTACATCATCCTCTCTCCATTAATGGGCAACGCTTGGCATGGGTCATGCTCTGCATTCAGCTCTGCTGTGTTTGGGCTCTGCCTGTGTGTCCCTTCACTCATTCCAGCACCTGGCATCAGCTCATCTTGCTTTACCCTCTCCCTATGCTGCTTTTCCCAACCCCTCTAATATTCTTAATGCCTGTATTGCTGCTTTTCCTTTTCTTTCTCTGATAGCTGACTCAGGAGGTACCCATTCCAGAGCTCTGTTTTTGGCAGCAAGACAGGGCTGAAGCTGCTGACATCCTCTCTTGGGGCTTGCAGAGCATTGCAGAGATAACTCAAGCTGCTGAGGCTGCTGCTGTGTGTCACTCCTTCTGCCCCACTAAAACCCATGGCAACTGGTTCTTTCACATCTAAATCACTGATGTTTTCGAATCAGCTCTAATGATGTCTTGTATGGAGGAGAAAGTGCCTTTGCTTGGCTGTATGGCTGTAATTCTTTTTTCTCCTTTTTCAGGTGTGCCCTCTTTCTCTCTGACCTTGCAGGTATGCTTTTTTTTTCCTATTCTTCCTTGCTTGCTTTCAATTTGCTGTTCTGTGTGAAGGTGACCACTTCTGTCACTCCCTGCTGCTGATTTCCTGTGGTCTCTGTTGTGTTTTCATTGGTAGTCAGCAGTGTTGTGGCTGAGAGCAAAGAGTTTTAGGTGGTAGAGGTTGAGTGCCACTGTTGTTTCCCTGGATAAAGGTTGGTGTGGAGCTACTTGATGTAGCACAGTGACCTGATGGATGTGGTTCCTCTCCTGCTGCTTTGTGCTGCTCTTCTGATGCAGGACAGAGTCGATTCAGGGAATTAAACCAACAAAACATCAATACTAGACAGTTTCTTTTCCTTGGCCTGCAGAAATCGTGTTCCTGTGTAGTCCTTGGTGTTTTTCCTACAGCTCTTTGTCCCTGGGGAGCACAGAGATGTCTCACAGCAAGCTGCTCTGTGTCCCTGTCCTCCTGCTGCCACCTGACACTTATTTTTAATGCCATCTCTGTTTGCCAGGGAGCTGAACTGTTTGTAATCTTACTCCCTTGCTTATGACTTGCAGAAAGCAGCTGTCACTCCCCTCCAGAAATCAGAGTTGGGTGAGATTTGTTGCTTGTGCTCGTTTAAAGAGACTTTTCAAGACTGTGGGAAACACTTTAACAGCTCGGTGTGGCTTAATTTCTGGGAGAGCTGTGTTCAGCCTGGCACGTTAGGTGAGATTTAAATGGCATTTCAGCTCCAGTGCAGGAAATTGTGTAAGATCTAATGCAAGTTGCAGCTGGGAAGCTGCTGTTAACATCTTTATAAGCTGACTCTGGGGAAGGAGATGGATATATTTATTTTACAGGCTCTCAAGTGAAGAGAAATGTAGTGTTTTCCTGGACAGAGGAGAAGGGAATGGATTCCGTCAACCACTGAACAGAATGGAATTAACTTTCTTTTGGCAGCAACCCTAGGATATTGTGTGGTGTGCTTTGGTTTCATGGGCTTCTTAAAAAGTAGCTAGATTTCAGGGGATAATGCAGCCAAATAGCTGAAGTCCAAAGCTTACGTTGGATTTACAGAACAGCAGTAACTTTAGGCATTGACCTGCAGCAATGGAAGCACTGCACGGATTTATTCTGGCTTAAAATACCCAGGAATTGTGATGACAAATACCAGAACCAAGGCACTGAAGCAGCAGATAAAAATTAGAGGTTGTCTTATAGATATATTTTTTTGTAAGCTTATGGGACAGCTAAGCATTGGGCTGAGTTACTTGAGAGCATTTGATTACTTGGCACTGGTAAGTATTGATAATATCATTAGCTTTGTAGAACACCTGGTAGGTTGTGCAGAACTGAAGAATAATGCGTGTTGGGAGAGCTGGAGGGGCTCTGATCTGGAATTAAAGGTCTGAAGCAGAGATCTGCACCAGCAGGTGTGGTGGTTTGTGTAGTTAAAAACACTGTTACGTAGTGAAAGCCTTTGTATTTACCTTTTTGCTGGAAGGACTGGTGAATGCAGAGCAGAAACGATGCTTTCCCTGTTCTCATTTGTCAACATCACTGTGGTTTTTGTCCTTTAATATTAAAGATAACCGAGTGGCTGTCCTGGTAAGGGTGCATGGCTCTGGAGAGTTAATCAGCCATAAGTTTAATGATCTGTGCTGTGCAATTTGAAGAGGGGAGTTAATGAGCTGTTGGCTGTGTCCTTGCTGAATCTCTGAAACGTGGCCACGTCTCTTAAACTTTATATTTTTCCTTATTGCTGTCGCAGGAACTAAAACAGTAAGTACTCTGCAGCTGTCCTATGGTTTGGCACTTGTGGGAAATGGGGCACGAAGGCGCTGGTCTGTAGTTTTGCTGGTGGATTTCTAGACAGATTATTGCACAACTTTCAGATTTCTCTTGGGAATGTATGGCTTCAGACTATGGTAACACCTGCTTTGGGTGATTGAGGTGTTCCCAGTAAAGGATCTTGAAGGCTTTATTCACTTGTTTGTGGGTTTTTTTTTGTTTTTCCCTGGGATGACTTGAATGAATGTGTAGCCAGACAGCAGGACAGACAAATGCAGAACCCTGATGTTCTGTTTAGGAGTCCTTATTGATCTAAACAATAGGAAAAAAACCCAAACGTTTTGCCTTCATGCTTTAGCTGCAAGTTCTGGCTCATTGGAGCTCACGTAAAGATTGTTTTAAGGGAGATTTAAGTAGAACACTGCAGTGCTTTGCTGTTTTAAACAGCTTATTTTTTCCCCTAGTAAATTATGTTGGGGAAGAAAACAGCTTTGCTTTAGTAGATTTTTTTTGGATAAGCTTAATTCTCAATCTCCAGCTCTCGGTTGCTTTTCATTGCTGGTCCCTGGGGGGTTTTGAACCAAAATTGTGCTATCAGCTCCCTCTCCTGGCTTTTCAGGAGCAGAACACAAATGAGTGTAAGCAATGACCTCTAAGGATACTTGAGAATTAGAGCATCCTTCTTTTTTTTAAGCATATCTTCCCAAATCAGTGCCTGCTTGATCATACCGGATGGATAATTAAGGGCTAAGCTACTATCATGGAAAAATGAAGGCAGTTTGGCCTCCTTGAGGTACAATTTGTAATTAAAAAGGAATTTAATTAAAGGCTTAGGCTCTTTAAGGTGAATAATAATGGTTTTTGGCACTTGTAGAAATTAAAAGTACTAAAATCTAATGCATGCCCTTGCTTGATTGAGTCTTGCTGCAACTACATTGTTGTGCTTATCTTTTAATGCTGCCACTCTTTGGAAGATGAGGACCAGGAAGCCTCTCTGCCCCATAGAAAAGGTGTGGGTAGACAAGCACAAATACGATGAAGCGGAGAGACTGCATTATGAAAGAGAAGCCATGTTGGCCACCGTGGTTCCAGAGGAGTGCTTGGAGCTGGAGGCTGTCAATGGGGTCTGCAATGATGATTCCATTGAAGGTGAACTCAAGGGAGACCTGAAGAAAGGCAAAAATGGCAAGAAACAAAGGAAGAGGAAACGTTCCCCCAAACCCAAAAACATGGTCTCCCAGGTAGACTCTGTTTTGAGTGGTTTATTAGCTGACAGTGTGTGGTTTGACAAACCTTTGTATGATCATGCTGAGAGCTTGTATAGGCAAAGATTAGTGGATTGTCAATACCAGGAGGCAGCAGAGACTGAGCTGCCTGAATCAGAAGCTGTCCAAGATGCTCCCGAGCCATGGATGCTTCCAGCAGCCCTGTCCTGCTCCCATGGCAACCTGAGCGCGTGCCACCATGTCGTTCAGGGCGTCTGGGTCAACAAGTTTGACTTTGACAAGGCTGAGAAGGCGTTCCTTGAAAGGTCTCAGTTCTTTGTTCCTCCAAACATCCTCGCCATCCCCTCTGTGTGCTCAGATGGTGGGAAGGTCGGGCTGGGGACGCCGGATGAAGGCTATGTGACAGCGCTGCCTACGCCTGCTACGCCCAGCTTAGCTCCTGATGTTGTTAATTCTGCTCCCCTCCTTAGCAGCTCGCCTCGCTCCGCAGAGCCCACAGTCAACGGTAAACCTCAGGCTTCCAGCTTGCAAGCTCTCGTGTCAGAGGTGTGGTTGGAGAAACCTCTCTACGACGGCGCTGAGAAAAGCTTCTATGAGAACATGTTTGATCATCACCCTCCAGGCTCCCCCCGAGCCGCAGAGAACCAGCAGGAGGTTGGGAAGCAAGCAGGTGCTGAACACGTGGAGCTCATCAGCAGCTCTCAGCAGCCTCCACCCACCTCCTTTTTCCTGCATGAGGACAGTGAGCGTGTGTGGCTCCAGAAGATGACGTACGACAGCGCCGAGTCGCGCTACTATGCAGCTGAAGCTCTGAAAATGTCAGGAGCAAAAGAGAGCACGGGGATGCCACAACCCACAGTGGTGAAATCCCAGCCAGATGCTGAGGCTCCGAGTGTACCTGCACCAGAAAAGAAGTAGGAGAAGTTTATTCTGGGGGTAACACACATGCTAAATTGAGTCAGGATTGAGCTGGAGGAGTTTGCGTGTGTAGAAGATGAGCATCCTTTGGTGTCCACAGGACTGAGCGTGTGTTGTGCTGTAGGGAGAGGCTGCTCTTGGGTTGTTTGTGGGATGGGGAGTAGGGAAACCCCTTCAGAGAGGGGAATAAGTTGCTTTAGTGATTTATTAAACCATTTGGTTTGCAAGCTAGCTGGATTCTAGCTTACGTGGTGCCCAGGTGTGGTTGGTCAGGAAGAGCTTCTCATTATAGATGAACTCTGTTGTGAATTGTAGATAAGCATTTTCTGTCCTTGAATTGATTTATAGAAGCGTCCTTTTTAAGTCTTGGATAAGATGCAGTATGATGCTGTGCTCTCTGTTAAATCTGTGCTTTTCCATGTGACTGCCTGAACCCCAAAGTTTGCTGTAATGACACAGGGCTTGGCTGAAGTCTGCTGCTTTAACATCATTTGGCAGTGCTAAGGTAGAGACTGATGCATCTGGGGGGGGAAAAAAGGAGATTCCAGAGCTAGTATTTGTTGGAAAAGTTGTCAGATGAACATTACATCAGCTGGTATGGATTGGTGTTTATAGACAAGCTTCAGAGCGCATCTGTTCTGTATGGGACAGTTTTAGTTGGCCAGAACTAGTTAGTTCACATCCTGAGCAAGTAGGAATGGTTTCAATGCAGATTAACCCATACTGGTGTCTTTGGAATGGGTGCGTGAGGAGGATGAGTGTTTTCACTGTTGGCTTCATTGGAAATGTTTGTTGGAGAGCCGATGAGGAAGGGGATGTGTTGGGTTGGGGCATGCATTGGGTTAGGGGGTGAGTTGCTTTCTCAGTATTGAGTGGGTAGAACCTGGTCGTGGTGTGATTTTTGTTGTGATGCTTTGTCCTTGCAGCAGCTGGGTTTCTACATGCAGTGAAGTGGCCGGATGAGGCGTATGCTAAGGCAGCCATCAGTTCAGAGCTTTGTTAAAGGAAAACTGAAATTTGTTGAAATTTGTGACCTGTAAGATCAGGAAATGCCTGACAGAGTTGTGGCTTGATTCTGCTGTCTCCGCTTTCAGCTTTAAGAGCATTATTCTCTATCTGTCTCATGCAAAGGGCATCTTTCTTAGTGGTGGATTTCATTGTGTGTTGAACATGATCTAGAAAATCCTCCTCGGGAGGCTCTTTGCTGGAAGGTGGTACAGATCAGCTGATTTATTGTGCCCTCCCCGTGCCCTTGGGTGGCTGATTAGCCTACCTTGCTTTCTTAATAGGATCCTGTTTACTTAAGGCTTCCCACCAGAGGGGGATCTGCTCAGCAGAAAGCTACATTCACAGCCCTATGGGGTAGACAGCACTGCTCTCGCAACCCCATTGCAAGATTCTCACCTGAAACGCTCCTAGAAACTCATTTGTTTGTTTTTTTTCCTCTCCTCCCTCTGCAGAAAAATGGCAGTTGACTTCCTTTTGGATGAGAAGATCTGGTTTGAGAAGTTTAAGTATGATGATGCTGAGAGAAGGTACTACGAGCAGCAGGTGAACGGGCCGGCCGGCAGCTCTTCACACCAGCAGGTAATGTGCTCTCAGGTGTGCTGGAGCCTTAATGCAGAAGGACACTGTGTCCACCTGGATGTGTTCTGCATTGTTTCCACTCACTGTTGCTTTTTTTCCAAGTGTGAGAGGCTCGCTAAGCCCACCCCACCTTGTCTTTGTCTGTTGTTTGTGCACCAGAACTTGTTCAGCACAGGCAGTGTGCTGGGAGATGAGGTGCCCTTGTGAAGGTGCTGTTTTGCTGTGGTTTTGGAGCTACTAAGCTTGTCTTGGCAAGGCTTATATTGGATATATATGATGCTTGATGTTTAAAGAAAGGTTGGATTAAATGATCTCAGAGGTCTTTGCCAACCTTTATGATTCTGTGAAGGTGCCATGTCTCCAAATTAACGAGTTCCTCTCTTTGTACCCCTTGCAATACTGCATCCTATGACGCAGGAAAACTGCATCACAGCGCTGAGGTGGGGGGAGCAGGTGGAATGGGAGCGTGGTGCTGCTGCAGCACACACCTCAAAGAAAACAGTTCACACAATTCTTAGTCCTAAACTATTGCCTTTTAAAGCACAGAGCTACTATAACCTCTTCTTGCAATGTGAAAAAGCTGATAACTGCTTATGCACTTAGTTGGTGATGTGGAAAGCTGCTTAGTGATTCACGTGGCTGTCCTGCAGGGGTTCCATGGGAAGCTTCTTGCTTCAGTAGTAACTTGTAGGCATGCTCTGTCTGTTCCTGCTGCCTGTGCTAGGATAGTGGTGGCACAGCACTGGGGATACTTGCATAAAAATTAAAGAGATCTTTGGGTGGAGCAGAAAGGGGGAAGAGAACAGTTTATTTTGTGCCATGTAAGGAGGTTTTGGCTCCGAGAGATGATGTGAAGGCTCTGATGGAGATGGTGTAGTGTTCTTGCATCCACTTCTGTGCTAAGGATAAAGATCAGTGGTCGTTTAAACCTGTCTGCAGCCTCCAAGTGGTTATCCACCTGAATTCAGGCTGGTGCATGTCTGAGCTGTATAACAGAGGCTTGTGGGCAGTTTCATGTCACAGATCTTGCTCGTGGGGTTACAGTCTAGAAGAGATGAGGAGTCAGTGGATCATGGAAAATGATCCATTCCCCTCATAGGAGGGGAAATCTTCCCTATCAAGTCAGCAGGAAAATAAGGGGAACAAGCTACTGTGTGTGGCTGTACCCTGGGATTTGCCTTGCTGGGTACAAGGCTTTAGTTGGAGTTGCCATTGCATTCAGGCAAGAAGTGACAGGTAATATTAAAAGAAAAAGGGCTGCCTAATGGTAGATCTCTTAGGAGCAGAGAGGTGACTCAGCCCTCTGCCTGCAAACTGTGCAGGGTAAGAACAGAACTTGGAAAGCCCTTCACTGGGTGATCTCTGAACACATGGTCTGTTGTGACCAGTGTCTGATGTGTGCTGCTTGATTAAGAACCGATCCTTGCAGCTAGTTCAGTAACACATTCTGAATCATTAGAAGGAACCCTCCCCTATACTTACCTTTTTTTGTTGTTGTTGTTCTTAAACCTCCCTGACCAATTTCCCCATGTTTCCTATTTTCTTTTTAAAAGAAAATCTTGGTTCTTTCTGCACTGTTTGCAGGAGAACGGAGCCAGCACGATCCTCCGCGACATTGCCAGAGCCAGGGAGAATATCCAGAAATCGCTGGCCGGAGTGAGTACCCGAGCTCTCACCAGCTGGCTACCTGCAACCATTTTTTTTAGCTGTGGTGCAGAACCCTGCTGTGAACACTTCATAGATGGTGTGGCTTCTTAGTTTTAAGTCAGAGGAGACGCGTAAGGTGTGCAGCGCTGTGTATCACCAGCATGGCACAATCTTACCAGGAGCGCCGTTGCTACCAGCCTTTAAGTGACCTTAACTAACTGCATTTGGGATTAAACAAAAAATTATTCAGCTGCATTTCTTTACTTTTTCTCCTGATGGGTTTTTCGAGTTTGCTCCCACAACACTTAACAATTCACTGCTAAAACAGCCTTGCTGGGCAGCAAAGCACTGAGCTGCCAGCAGGATCGGTCCCTCGGGGTACACTGAGCTGCCACCTTCTCTTTCCTGTTTTGCTTTCAGTTTAGGGTATGTGCAAAAAAATGGTGTCTTCCATCTGCTGCATCTTGGGAATTCAAGCTGGACCATCCCATAAACGTTCAGAATAATGCATTTCTGGAGGTGTTTTTTTGTGCTGATAGGACGTAACAGGCAGCACTGTTGTAATCAGTGCTTTCAGCAAGAAGCTGGTAGTTTAAATTGAAAAGTGATTTGGTTTTATGGGCGAAGAGAAGAAGTCAGGAAAGGTAGAATATCATTTCTGGCCTCTGCATACTTGAGCATGTCTTCCATCTGAGGATAACCATCCTTTATCTGTATTGGTTTGGCCTCATAACTCCCTCTTGGGAGTTATTTCTACATCTAAGAGGGGATTGAGTACTTTCCCAGGGGAGTATTTTGTGTTCCTCCTTAACACAAGCAGTAAGAAGCTGTGTATTTGGGGTGAATACAAAGGAGTTAGGCTAATTGCTTTTCCCATGGTGATGCTACTGTTCCTGTGGAAGCTGACGTTACAAAAGCAGCTTCTGCAACTGCTTGTGTGAGTGATCCAAGTGCTACGTGGAAATTTGGATGCAGGAGCAGTGGGGTGTATTGATAGCAAGGCTGCTGGGAAAGGGTGAGCTTTGCTGTGGTTGGATTTGATGGTTCTGAGCACAGCATTGGAATCACTGGGAAGTTGGGAGGTCTTATGAAAGAGGAAGGAAGTGCTTAGAAGCTTTTTAATGCTAATTTCTGACTTGAGCATCAGTATTTCAACTAACAGCTCAGGGAAGCAGGGAAAATAATACTCGGGGCATTCAGTAGAAATTATCAGCCCCTGTCTAAGCCTTTTAGCTTGGACTTCAGTGAGGCAAATAGGTGGGGGAGTGAACCCCCATTCCATCTCCGCCAAGGCTGGAAAGCTTGTTGCAAATAAAGCATTTTAAGACCTTCTCAAATCCAGCAAGATCTAACATCAGTTTCCTCCAAAACCTGCAGCCTGCAGGAGCCAGAGCCTGGATGTGGTGAGTGGAGCCAGGAAACCTAAATAGAAATCAAATGGCAGTGCTGCTGGGTTTGCCCTGCAGGTGTGTTCTCATCTCACAGAATGGACTGTGGTTTGCCAGAGACTGAGCACAGCCTGAGGAGCTTCTTGTCCTGGCCTTTGCCTCCTGCTTAGTGAGAAGTGTGTCAGCTTGGGTTAGCCAAGTCCTGTCATAGGGAAGGCTAGGAGAACTGGCAAAGCACCAGACCAAAGCCAGAACAGTGCTGTGAATATAAAGTACTTTAAACACCAACAGGAGTTCAGTGTTGAATATCAAAAACTGTTCTGTTTTTTGTTTCCTGCAAAGAAGACTTTGAGGATTTAAGGCCAGGCTTGAGCCACGGCATCTCAAAATTGGAATCTGGGTTGTTGCAAAAAGCAGGCTTGAATTTTCCAGGCTTGAAGGAAAAGCACTGTTCTACATACACGCATTAGGGAAAGCACTCTGTGCCCTAATCTGCTCCCAGAGTATGCAGTGTCTTGGGAAAGCCAGGAACATGGCAGTGGTCTCTTCCTTGATCTCATTTTACAGATTGTCTCTTATTTTGATCATTCCACAGAGCTTCTTTCTTAGGTTTTTCAACCCATGGCTGTACCCTGGCCCTGGGACATCAGCAGTAAGCCACAGTTGAGTGTTCTGCTTCCACGTGTTGGGTTAGAAGGACTGAGCATTTGAGAAATGAGCCAGAACCATCAGCTTTTGTTTCTGAAGGGTTATTTTTTTAATCCTGGACAGGGCATCCCATAGAGCAAGCCTGAAATTCAGTTCTGCAGTGTGTGATGGAGTGCTGTGGAAGGGTTTGGGTGCTGCTTTTGTACCTCCTGAAGGAAAGCACAGAACTCTGATGCCAGAAACATTTGTTTGCACATACCTTTCACCCTGCATTGCATGGTCATCCCTGCTTTCAGCAATCACTCCAACTGACATCTGCTACATCACTAATGCTTTCCCAGGCCATGTTTTCAACATGTGCTGCAGCTGGTGGTGGTGAGATCTTACAGATGGGGTCATGAGGCATGGAAAGGAATGACTTGTCCAGCATCAGCAGCAAGTCCAGCAGTGCTGGTGGCTGAGCTCCTATTTCCTAAACCCTCCCATGGGGCTTTCATGAATGGATGCTGGATTCTGAAGTTCTTTCTGCTGTGCCCTGTTTTGTTCTGTTATAAACCCCCCCCTGTATTTGTGCAGCTCCTGGGTTTGTTTCAAAGCTTTGCACACACCTCTTGATATTGCATAAGTGCTCTGAGGCCATGTTCAGAAACCAACTAAGATTCATCCTGCTGGCCTTATGCAGGTGAAAGCATCTTCTAGTTATCAAACATGATTATGTCTGTTTGTTTTCAGTTTGGTATATGGCCAAACCTGTATTTCCCAAGCTCTGGCAGGCTGACCTGGAGAGAGGTGCATGCACCTCTGCATGCAAGGAATAGGTTTGGTTTTTGTATGAAGCACTGAGTGCTTTGGGAACAAACTGGAGGGCCTACGTGTTGTCCTGTCTGAAACACAGTTGGTAAAAGCTGCATGCTGTGCTTTGCAACTGGTTTACACATGATGGGAAAAGGCTGATACCTCCAAATCCTTCTTGGAGGAAAGTGCCAGCTTTTCCATCTGTGTCTGTTAGCAAAGAAAGAGCTCTGAGCTGTTAAAGTCCAGACATAAATTTGTCTTTCAGCTCATAATGAAGAAGTGTAGCCTCTGCCAGCTTTTCATTACTGCTCTTGTCTCTGGTTCTTAAAATTTGTTCTAGAGTCCTTGATATCCTCAACTCAGGGGGCAGCCCACAGATTCCTGTGGGACCATTTTCATAGCTTATTGAAGTAGGACATGACCACCTTCCAGAATTGGGATCTTGGCTCAGTGTTGTCACACGGTCTGGTTTCAAAGCCCTCTTACTGCAAGCCACAGCTCCATCCTTTCTTGGTAAGCACAGAGCCCACTCAAATGCTGCAGTGTTTGTCTCAGAAACGTGATGAGAGCTTCAAACTGCCAAAAGCTGCATTGCTGTGCTGAATCAACAGGCTGCTGTCAGGGGGGTGAAGGTTCTGCTGCAGCTCTCCTTGCAGGTGGCAGCTCCTGTATGTGTGATGATCATGAGTAAAAGTGCTTTTTTGGGGTGGGGATGGGTGTGACTCCTGCCAGATTTCAGCCTTCTCATTGAGTTAACTTAGACCTTGGCCCTTGCATTAAGTTGCACCGTGGATGATGCGTTTAAAGCAGGAAGAGGTCAGATAATGAGCCCATTTGCAATTCAATGTTTGCCTTTGGTGCATAAATCTATAGTTCATGATACAGTGAGCCCACTGTGGCTAGCAGTGCAAGGGTGGAAACCAACACCATTGAGTTGTTGGGTGTGGAATGGTGTTGTGTTGCCTTTCTCCTCTCTAAGATAAGGTCATCAGTGGTAATTGGAGACCTGCTAGGAGCCTTGTAGCTTTGTGTTTCTGCCTGTAGGGTCTTACACCGTGCATGGGCAGAGTTAGCGGAGGCCACGGTGTGTGCTGCAGTATTGCATGCATCCCTGACCTCACAGGTGGGGAAGTGACAAGGCTGTGCTCTTCACTCTGCCCCTCTGCTGTGTGACTTCCTGCAGGCACTGAGATGCGTAGCACAAAGAGCAGAGCTCCCAGGCGGCTGTTTTAATGCAGGCTTTGTTTGGTGTGGAGTTGGTTTGATGCTGACTCGTCGTTTGACCACTTTGCCAGCATGTGGATCTGCTTCCTGCACTCCTCCAGCATGAGTGAAATGCTTTTCCGTTTTCTTTGTTGAACCAAACATCCCCCAAACTTTTTGCCCTTTCCAGCAGAAGACAGGTCCACGTAGTAAAGAAGCTCCTGCCCGTCAAAAGAGGCAGTCAGGCCGCTCAACTGTAAGTCCTCTCAGCATGAATGGAGCTGGTTGTGTGATGCAGGAAGAGGCTGCAGTGCAGACATGGTTCTTTTCAACGAGGAGCATTTCTCTTTTGGCATACGGTTGTAGCTCACCCAACAGGGTCTTAGTAGCACAGCATTTAGGAGCTGCAGATCTGCACTTCCATCCCTGAGCCTTTACTGCCTTCAAAGATGGATTTCGTGGTGGTTTTGACCTCTGGTCTCTGTCCCTTTGGGGTGTGTGGGGAAAGGTCTCTGAGCAGGAATGTCAGAGCATCTCCCACTGCTCTGTATGTCCCATAAAAGAGCCCTGCTCTCCCAGGGCTCAGCATCTCCCACACCTGTTTTCCATTTCCTTGTATTCCTCTCTCTTAAATCTTAAGTGACTGCTTGCCAGCCATGACTGAAAACAGCATTATTATATGCAGAGTGCACTTGGAAGAATATAAACTTTCACTGTTGTATTTAGTTATAGAAAGCACTTCAAGCATGAATGACTGTATTTTCTTTTTCTTTTTCTTTTTTTTTGAGATGATCTGAAGTTACAGATAAGCCCTTTTTGCTTTTAAACCGAATGCTTTTGAAGCTGAATCGGCGTAATTGCTCCCTCAGGGTGTGTTCAAGTAAAGTTAAAGCTGCTTTGAGAGGAACTGAGGGCCGGACTGGGGAAGGTGGGAGCGTAGAAATGCTGTGATCTCTTTGCAGCCTTTCACAGGGACTTTGCTGTGTGATGTTAACAGGTCATTTCTGTGCTCTGTGCCTCAGCTCATCTGTAAGAGGAGACAGCTGCCCCAGAGAAGGGACTTAGTGTGATAACTTCCATCATGTTCTGTGTTGTTTAGTGATGGTCTGAGACTGCAAGGAGTGACTTCATCCTTTGCTCATCGCTGCCAGATGAAACTTGTTGATGTTTCATGCTTCATTATGTAGAGCCAGCTTATTTTCTTTGAAGCTTTCGTGTCCATGATTTTAGCTTAGTTCTTAATTTATTTTTTTTTTCTCCAAATGTTTGACTCTGCTTTGTTTCACTGAATTACTGAGCTTGGGAGTAGGTGAACAGATTTGTTTCGTTTCCATTTTCCTTGTTGCAGAGTGCAAGCACGAGTTCTGGTGACCAAAATGAGCTTCTTTCCAGAATCTCTCACCTGGAGGTAGAAAATCAAAACCTTCACAATGGTAAGTAGAAGAACTTTCTATCATACAAGCAGGCTGGTCGGGGTAGCTTGACTTAACTTTAGAGCTGATGCACAGTCTTCAGGCTGTTTTTTCCCCACACCACGCTCTTCTTGCAGTTGTTGCAGATCTCCAGAAGGCCATTTTCAAGCTGGAAAGTCGCCTGAATGCTCTGGAAAAATCTACCTCCCATCAACCCTCACCTGTTCCACCAACCCAGGTGAGTCCCAGCAGAGTGCTGCTTTATTGTCACAAAGTGCCAGGTTGCTTCTGAGGTTTGTCTGGGTGCTGGGAATGGAGATACAGTCAGGATGAGATTGGTACAGCTTTTCCATCAGTTTTGGCAACTGCCTTATCTTTCCCAAACCAGTTTATGCAGAAGGAAATATACCTGAAGGCAAAGAAAGAAGCTCATGCTTGAGGAAGGTGTTCAGTTGCTAGTGCCTTAAATTAGGAGCTGTACTGCTCCTCTTGTTGAGGGAGAAAATAAATTGCAGTAAATCTTGTGGTAGGAATTTGCTTGTAAATCTGTAGATCTGCAGCATCCTGGGAAAAGGGTGTGTTTTCCACCTGAGTGGAAGATGACAAGCTGTTCACCTCCAGGGGTCTTCAGGGCAATGCATGATCTCTAGATAAATTATGGCATTGGAGCATCCAGCAAGGCTGTTCTGTAAGGCCAGGTTCTCAGCTGCTCTCCTGCTCGTGTTCTGGATATTCTGAACCTCTGAGGCCTTAGGAGAAGGATCAGCTCTTGACTGTTTTTACTCTGTGAATTGTAATATGGCTATGATGGGCAAATTCAAAAGGTCCTCCTGGTCCAGTGTCCTATGTTCATGGCTGGTGGCTAATTCTTCACACCTTGTGGGCTGTGCTTTACTGTCTGTAGCAATGTGAACTCTTCTCCCCATTTTCCTTACTGCAAACTTGACTGCACGTCACCCTCATGAAGAAAGTGGAACCATTCGGTGTTCCCTCCAAGAAAGTAGAGTTGCCATCTGCTTCACCTGCAAAGAAAGCTGAGCCAGCTGCTGCAGAGGAAGATGATGATGATGATGACATCAACCTTTTTGGCAGCGATGACGAAGAGGAAGATCAAGAGGCTGCCAAAGTGCGGGAGGAGAGACTGCGTCAGTATGCAGAAAAGAAGGCCAAGAAACCAGGTCTGATTGCCAAATCTTCCATCCTTCTGGACGTGAAGCCGGTGAGTAGGTGAAGTGGGAGAGCTCCTGAGTGAAGCTGCAAATCATCTCATTTGTGCATCTGAGTTGAAGGTTTGACCTGTTTGGAAACATGCAAGGGTTCAGAGTGAGGTGGGAGATTGCAGGTGGGATATTGCAGCCTTTGTGTTGTTCCAAAGCAGATATGTTGATGTAAGAAGAATTCCCCCTCATATCTGAAGGGTGTGCAGGAAGAATCCATAAGCAGTGCAATTGCATGTGGTGATCTCAGGAAGTCTCCTCCAACTCCTATGGTTCTTTCATTTTTTTTCTGTCATTCTCATGTGACCTCAAGGAAAACATTTAATACCTTCTCCCTGCCCTTGCAGTGGGATGATGAGACTGACATGGCGAAGATGGAGGAGTGTGTGCGGTCTGTCCAAATGGATGGGCTCGTGTGGGGAGCATCTAAGCTGGTCCCAGTAGGTTATGGCATTAAGAAACTCCAAATCCAGTGTGTAGTAGAGGATGATAAAGTCGGGACAGACATCCTGGAGGAGGAGATCACCAAGTTTGAGGACTATGTAAGTATTTTTCTTGAGCCATTTTGCAGTCTTTCTGCTCCTCATCCAGCCCATTTGGAGCAACTCCTGCTTTTATGCTCAACCTGGGCAGCTCCAGTGTGGCAATGCATGAGTTTTAACCCTGGTGGTTAATGTTGGAGGTGCCTCCATCCCCATTCTGTCTCCACTGCCATGGAAATGGGAGGGTAAAAAGGCTGACCTGAAGGAGCTACCCAAAGATTGATGCAATAGCTAACACCAGTGTCCTGTTATGTCTCCTGAGGGTGGCTGGGGAGCTGGCCTCAGACCTGTGCAATGCTCAGTCTATTTTAAGCAGAGCTAGTGCATGCTGTGAAGAATTCCCCCAGTGTGAATCCTTTCTTTCTGAAAACACCTCAGTGACTTCTCGTTGCTGCTTTTGTTGTGTTGCAGGTGCAAAGTGTTGACATTGCTGCTTTCAACAAGATCTAGAAGCAAACCTATCCTCTGTGATACTGTAACTAATAAAAAGATCAAGGAGTGCAGATTGGATGATGGTTTTCTCTGTTAAATGTGACTTCCCCAGAGTGATATGTTGTAAGATGTCAGGGTATTTCCCCTGTTTTGTTCTCTTGATAAAAGGGAAGACCTCGACAAGAGGATACCTGTGTTTCCAGGTTGCTGCCTGTGATACCCTTAGCAGGTCACTTCTGCAGGTCCTTTGGTTTGTGAGGAACCAGGCCTGTGCTTAGTCTGGCCTGTGGCAAGGAGAGGACACTTCATGGGGTGTCACAGTGCCGGAGTCCAAGGTCCAGCTGCCAACACCCAGCAAGTTGGAAGCACTGCGTGGCTGCACTGTGAGTACAGATGGAGCTGCAGCAGTGACAACTCCACCCAGCTAGGAAAACTGGCACTGCAGTGCTCTGTGCCTGCCCTGTGCCTTATCTCTTACATCCTGCTGTCCCTAGTCATCCATGTGTTGCCATCCACTGTCTCCTACATCCTTCTGTGCCCTTTGTGCCCATGTGCTGTGTCTGCTGCTATGCCCTGTATCCCCACTGCCATGTGTTACCTCCTTCAGTAGCGGAAGGCCACAATGATGTCCACACGGAGTCTTCTCTTCTCCAAGCTAAACAATCCCAGTCCCCTCAACCTTTCCTCACAGGAGAGGTGCTCCAACCCTCTGATCATCATAGTGGACCTCCTCTGGACCTGCTTCAAGAGCTCCATGTCCTTTCTGTACTGTAATGACAGCCACAGCTCTCACTCCATCATAGAAAGCCACCAGGTTGGTCAGGCAAGGTCTGCCTTTGGTGAAGCAATGCTGGCTGTCTCAGATCACTCCTTGATCTTGTATTTGCTTTAGCATAGCTTCTTGCAGTATCTGCTCCATGATCTTTCCAGGCTCAGAAATGAGGCTCACCAGCTTGTAGTTCCCCCAGTCTTTCTCCCTTAAAAACAGAAGTAATGTTTCCCTTTCCTCAAGCCACCAAATGCCCCATCTCCCACATTTCTCTGTCATGCAAAGCCACCCTGTGCCCACCACTATGTCCCCTAAGCCCCCAGGTGCTCCCCGTCCCTATTTCTCCATGTTCCTGTCCTCCCCCCAGGCCACCACCTCCTCTCTCTGTACCTCCCGAAGCCAAATACCCCAATATCCCTTTCCAGCATTCACTGTCTGTCACCACCTGTCCCTGCAAGCAACAAAATGCCCCCCTGTACCCCTCCATGCCCCTATGAGTGCCCTGTGTCCCTGTTCCCCCAGCCCCAAGTGTCTCCTGTCCCCCACTGAAGCCACCAAGTGCACTCCATGTCCCCTCCCAAGCCACACCAAGTGTCCCCTATGTCCCCCCCCAAACCACTGAGTGCCCCCATCCCCAAATGTCCCTCTCCCACAATGCACCACGTCCCCCCTACGCTACCAATTGCTCCCTTATCCCCCAAACATCCCCCCTCCGAGCCTTTATCCCCGACTCAAATCCCCACGCCACCGCATTCCCCGTCCTCCCACCAGGTGTCCCCACGTCCCCGCATCCCCGCCTCGCTCCCATGCTGCCCCGCTCTTCTTCCCCGCCCCGCTCCGCCGATGGCTCCTCTGGCCGATCTGTACCACCTGACGATGGCGTACGCGTTGTGGCGGACGGGGAGGCACCGGGACCCCGCGGCCGCCGAGCTCTTCTTCCGTCGGGAACCTTTCGGTGCCGCCTTCGCTGTGGGAGCGGGGCTGGGCCAGGCTCTGCGCAGCCTCGGGGCTCTTCGCTTCTCGGCTGCGGGTGGGTCGTTGTGGGGGGGGAAGGGGAGGGGGAGGGGGGGGGACGCGGGGACACCCCTTAGGGGGACTTGGATTGGGGAAGGGGACATCGCGAGTCCTCGGGTGGGACGTGGGGATATCCCTGGAGACTCGTCCTTAGGACACGGGGAGATCCCTCGGGTGTGCTTTGGAGGGATCTGGGGGCATAGGGACGGCCCTTAGAAGGACGGGGGGGGTTCCTCAAAGGGAGCAGGGACATCTGTCAGATGGATCTGAGTCCTCAGATGGGACAGGGAACTCAACAGAGAGACCTGTGGGCAGCCCTTTGGGGGGGACTCGAGGGACAGGGACATTCCTCGGAGGGACACCAGAGTCCCCCAAGGGATCTAGGTGACATGGGGGCATCCCTTTAGACTTCAGTAGGACCCAGGGGACACGGGGACATCTCTCAAAGGAACATGGGGGGGGGGGACAGGGGTGTGTTTCAGAGGGCCTTGAGAGAGAGGGGTCTGGGGTGGTGACGCTGGTATGTCCCTTAGAGGGACAGGGAACTCCTCAGAGGAATTTGGAGGGAGCACAGGGACAGCCCTCAGAAGGTCTGGAGTCCTCAGAGGAATCATGGGGACAGGAGGATGGCCCTTAGAGAGACAGGGAACTCAGAGGGATCTGAGTGCTCCAAGGGAACTAGACAAGGTGGGGACATCCCTCTGGAGGACCATGGGGCATCAGGATGTCCCTCAAAAGTCCTAATGGATGGGAGCCTGGGATGGGAGACAGAGATGTGCCATCAGAGGGATGTGAGTCCTCAGATGGGTCATGGGGCATCTCTTAGAGGGACAAGGACATTTCTCAGGAAGATCTGTGGGACACAAGGACTTCTCTGAAGGAGAACTGAGTCCTCAAAGGGAGGTAGGGGACATGGAAATGTCCCTTAGAGGGATCTGATGGAGAAAGGGACATCCCTCAGAGGGACCAGGAGACCCCTTGGTGGCACGTGGGGTTCCCCCAGAGGAGCTTGGGGACCCGAGGGAAGTCCCTTGGAGGGATGATGCCTTACAAGGGACAGGGACACGAGCTGACATCCCTGCAGACATCGCCTACTTGCGCTCGGTGCTGCCCAGCACGACGGAGGATGCTTTCTTTGATTACCTCAGCACCGTGGACGCCTCTGAGGTGACCGTCACATCCGTGCCTGAAGGCTCCATTGTCTTCTCCAGGGTGCGACACATGGCCGAGCGTCCCCATGTCCCCATCTCTGGTGTGTGTGGTTGTGGGGATGTCACCGTGCTGTCCCCGCAGGTCCCGCTCCTACAGGTGAAGGGACCGCTGCTGGTGGTGCAACTGCTGGAGACCACCTTGCTGTGCTTGGTCAGCTACGCCAGGTAGAGGATCCTACAACCTTTTTGGGGTTCTACAGGGCGATGTGTCCATCTCTACTGGACCAGCTGTTGTCCCTGTGACCAAGTGGAGTTGTTCGCCAAACAAACCACGGTCCCCTTTATCATTCCCAATGCTGTACCAACTTTTGGCCCTGTATCTTGGCTGTGACTGAGTTGTGGTGGTCCCCAAGCAAATGATAGTCCCATTTGTCACCAACATGACTTGGTGTGATTTGGCCCTTCCAGCCTGGTGGCCACCAATGCCGCTCGATTCCGCCTTCTTGCTGGCCCAGAGATGAAGCTGATGGAGTTGGGTCTACGTCACGCCCAGGGTCCGGATGGTGGACTTTCTGCCTCCAAGTATTCCTATATTGGAGGTGAGTGCTGCCCCACATATCCATGCTGTGTTGTTGTCATGTTGTCAGCCCTCATCCCTCCTTCCAGGCTTTGACTACACCAGCAACGTCCTGGCAGGGAAGCTCTATGGCATCCCAGTGCGTGGCACCGTCGCCCATTCCTTCATCATGTCCTTCAGGTCGCTGGAGGAGGTGCAGCCCAGAGTGAGTGCTTGCAGATGGGACAGGGATAGGACACCCCTGATATGACCGTGGGGATGGGACATCCCAGATATGGCTTAGCCATCCCCATAGCTGCTGGAAGGGAAAAGGGATGCACATGGTATGGGGTGCACGAGACCTGCATTAGAACTCATTTCACCCACTGAAGTCAACGTGATTGGTTCAGTGTCATCACTGATATCTCCAAGCAGGTCCTGTCACCACTGGCAGGTGGGGAGCCCATGGATCTCCCATCCCTGGCTGAGTCGTGGCTGCAGCGTGTGTGTGAGCTGCTGGGGACCCCCAGTGACAAACCCAACCGCGGTGAGCTGGCTGCCTTCGTGTCCTACGCCATCGCCTTTCCACAGGACTTCCAGGGGCTGCTGGACACTTACTGCGTCATGAGGTTGCCTTTTTTGCTGTGTCCCCATCTTTCACTGTCACCTGGTGCAGGACACGAACGCTAATTCTTCTCCCTGCCCCTGTCAGGAGCGGTCTGCCCAATTTCTGCGCTGTAGCACTGGCCCTACACCAGTTAGGGTACCGCGCCATCGGGGTGCGCCTGGATAGCGGGGACCTCATCCAGCAGTCCAAGGACACCCGGAAGGTGCTCCGAGCCTGCGGTGCTCAGTGAGTCGTGCAGACATCCGGAGAGCATCCCCTGCTTCTCCGCCCTGGGTACCCACATCTTTGCGTGTCCTGCCTCTGTGGCTGTTAGAGTGGGAGCCCTCGCTGCCCTGCGGGGTGCTCGTTGGCTCTCAGAGCCCCCAAACCTGGGACTGCCTTCCTGCTCATTCTTCTGCTCTTTTTCTTCCTTTCCAGCTTCCAGGTGCCTTGGTTTGGGAGCATCCCCATAGCCGTGAGCAATGACATCAGCGAACAGAGCCTGGAGGACTTCATCCGAGAGGTGATGTTGGGGCTGGAGCATTGGAGGGACAAATGTGACAGTCATTTTCCTGTGACTCAGCCTTTCCTGGGTGGGAACAAAAAAAAGTTTCCATGTGTGGGCAGGATGGACATATGGAGACCAGGAGGCACTTTGGGGCCGAGCAGCCCCTGACCTGCTCCGTGGCTCTGGTTTTAGCATGAGCTTGGGGAAAAAAAAGCAGCTGTTGATGCTCATTGTCTTCTCTGTTACACCAGGGGAGTGAGATTGACATGGTTGGCGTGGGGACAAACCTGGTGACGTGTCCCCTACAGCCATCGCTGGGCTGTGTTTACAAGGTAGGAGCAGCAGCTCTGCCCCACTTGGCTTGGGATGATTTGAGGTTGTGGGGTTTTTTTAATGATTTACTCAGTTATTTTGCATCAGACCACAGCTCTGCACAGTCTCCGGCACCAGTATGAGCTGGAATAGAGTCATAGAAGATTGGGAAAGACCTCTAAGATCAAGTTCAGCTGTTGAACCATCACCACCTTGTCCACTAACCGTGTCCCTAAATGCCACATCTACCCTTTTCTTGCAAACCTCCGGGGATGGTGTTTATGTGAAAAAATAAGGTGTACATCCCCATCACTTCCTTTTCCACAGCTGGTGGAGGTTAATGGCTACCCGTGCCTGAAGTTCACAGAGGAGGAAGAGAAGATGACTATTCCAGGGATTAAGGCAATATATCGGCTCTACGATGCTGCTGGTGAGCTCCACTGAGTTAGGAAACTCCTACCTCGTTGACTTGCTCTTCTTCTTGCTCCATAATCCTGTCACTGGTGTCACCCGCTGGCAACCTGACTCTTCATCCCTACAGGTCATCCCTTCATGGACCTCATGGCCCTGGAGAATGAGCCCTCACCTAGTGTGGGGCAGGAGTTGGTGGTCCACATCCTGGGGAGGAGAGGAGAGGCCACCAAGGTCAGGCCGAGTGCTGTGGAGCCCCTCCATCGCATGTACTTGAGAGATGGACAGGTCAGAGGCAGCTCTCCTCTCTCCCCATGATGGGCTTGGGTCAAAAGGTGCTCAGGGTGGTGGTGGTGGTGGTGGGTCTGTGAGAGGAGTCCCTCAGCAATGCTGGCAAGGCACAGTGCCCCTGGAGATGGGATATCTCCATGGCAAATCCTGTTTGCCAGCAGAGGGATGAAATTTTGTCTTATGAAGGTGGATTTTCTTGGTCTGTCCCATGGGAGTTTTGCAGCACAAAGCTCAAGATACTCTACATGCAAGAAACTGTCCTTCATTCTGCTGCTCCACTGAGCAAATGTCCTATATAGGGACAGCCTGGCAGTGTTTCTCACTGCTAATGAGGTGTTCTTCCCTCGTTGAGTGAAGGCCTAGGCAAGGCGGTGTCCTCAAGCTGAATCCCTGTGATGTTAGAAAAGCTGAGGTGGTGCCACCACAGCCACCATCTCATTGTCCTGCATCCCTGTGCTGTCCAATCTTGAGGCGTTGGCACTGTGTACGGATGCTATGATGTCTCCATCCCACAGGTGTATGAGGAGCTGCCCAGCTTGCAAGAGGTACGGAGTCATGCACAAGCATCCCTCAATCTGCTCAGCCCTGTGCACCGCCAGCTCCGTGACCCCCAGCCTTACCTGGTATGTTTTCCCCCTTACCAGGCACGATCCTGGTCTCATCCCAATCCTCCTGCCCCCACAGACCTAAAGTGACCCCATGGAGCCACACTCACTGTCCCCTTTTGCTCCTTCCCTAGGTGGCAATGACAGAGAAGCTGCACCTCCTCCTTGCAGAGCTGCAGCACGCTAGCCAGTGAGGGGTACCCCAAATCACCCCCCAGCACTGAGACCAGCACTTCTGCTCTTTGGAAGACCAGGTGATTAATTGGGATGGTTCTAGTGGTTCTGCTGCTCTGCAGTGCTGCTCCGAGAACTGTGCAGGAACTGCAAGAGCTGCCTCACTGCAAAGCTGTGGACAAAAGAATGGGGCAGACAGAGCTGGGAGGTGTCTACTGCCTTGCTGTGGGGGCAACGAGTTTTCTTCCTTGCTGACCTCGGTGGCCCTGCCAGCCCTGTGCCTTCAGTGATGACAGGACCAATGTCACCCATCATCAACACTCAGCAGCAGCCCACGTCCCCATTTTGTGGCATCCTACACCTAATTCTAGCACCAAAGCCTTTGGAATGTCACTGGGAGTACCAATGGGCCAGCAGCAACAAGTGGAAGTTTTTAATCAAATACCATCCAGAAACATTGGGTGGAACGGATAAAAATGTCAAAGAATAAATCATGTGCCTTTCTGAGCTGTGTGTGTTCTTCTCTAATCCTGTTCAGGTTTGTAATACAGACGTATTTTTAAATCCTTTTTGCCAAGCTTTGGAATTGTACAGCCAAAAACTGAGCCCCACACTGAAAAGACTTGCACCCATTCCCAGCAAAAGTCTGGATAAGAAATGTTGTATTTATGGTGGTGGATTTTTTGTGTGTGTTTTTTCTTTCTCTATTTTCAGATCTTTGCAGTGCTTGTTCATGGCAAAAGAAAAAACAAAAACAAACTACAGTCAAGTCTGATCGTGTCCCACTTAAACAAACAGCCAAGAGGATGGTGCTGCTGCTAGGGTTGTAAGGCACTGTATCTCATCACTTTCAGAGAGAAGAAAACACTTCTTGCTATTAAACTTTGTCCACAGTACTCCTGAGAAGAGACTTCCTTGAGTTCTTACAACAACTCTGTAACAAAGAGTGACATTAAACAGATAAAACAGTGCGACAGCAGCATGCTCCATCCCATCACCACCTCTCCACGGCCACAAAGGAGAGCCCACGGAATCAACCATCAGATCTCAAGTTCCTTGGAATGGCCTGCTGATAATCTATCACCACCTCTTCCATCCATGAGAGTCTTCACACTGCTTTGGTATCAGGCATTCATGATGAGTGCATTAAGGCTCCCTATACAAATGTTAGCTCACCCAATGGTTGTTGAGATTGGAAGGCACCTCTTGATGTCCTCTGGTCCAACCTCTGCTCAAACAGGGACACCAGGAGCAAATTCCTGAGGATTGTAGCCACGGGATTATTGAAGAACTTCAAGGAAACTCCACAATTCTCAACGACTGATACCAACATTCTGCCACAGCAGTGCTCCCTGATGGGCACAGCAAGCTCCTGAGTTCCTCCAAGTCCTACAGCATCTTCATGGCCTTCCATTGGACTCTTTCCAGTCTGTCCCTGTCTCTTCTTAAACCACAAGGCCCAGAACTGGCTCATGGTTGACTTCCTGAGGTTCAATTGCTCAGCAAAGGCAAACTCCAGACCCAAAAGACTGGAGCAGCAAACTGACTATTGAAAACTCTTGAGCAACTCAACACCGAGACCTCAGTGCTACGTCTGGGAGCCAAATTAGACAGCAGTGATCTCAACACAGTGTGTATTATTAATGGGCTCATTACACTCCATCCATGCCTTGAAGCCTCCATCCATCCTTTGAAGCGACCACATACAGATGTGAGGGACGAAAGCTGATACAAGCTATCAAGATGAGTTCCACTGAGCATCACAACCCTTCTTCAAGCAAAAAAAAGAACCCGATCCCCACTAAACTGCTGTGTGGCCCAAGCCAAAGGGGTCATGGGACGAAATTACTGCACCCTGTGTTAAAAGGAAAATAGGGCAGGAAGCAGGTTGTGGCTGTGGCTCTTGCATGTATTCCTCTAGGGCTTTTGTGCCATCCAGAACCTGGGTAAAATGACTCACAGCACAGAATCCCAAAACACCTTCCTGCTGCCATGACAGCATGTGCTTAATGGCAGACAACCCACAATTTGCAAATGTACATTATTTGACTTAAAGAATACCTGTTCCCACACATAAACCCTTCCTGCTGTCATTGCCAAAAAAAAAAAAAAAAAAAGTGCTAATTCTTCCATTTTTCCCCTGAAATACTGTTCCTGTTCTCTGGTGCAGATTTCAGAAGTGGATGGGACAGCAAGTGCTAGAAGAGAAGTTACAACACCTCGCATCCTGTAGATTTCACAGGGTGACAACACACTGGAGTCTCATGCCCACCTTCTGTTCCTCTGCCCTGTAATTTTCCCAAATTTGTTCCTACAAAAATAACATTTTTTAAAGTGTATTTGCAGCTCAAGATAGCTAATGAACCTCAGTTTGATGGTGGGTGAAAGTGCCAGAGGTATTAGTTCTGGATAAGGGAAGTGAAGACAAATCAGAGGCTCGGCTTTAAGTGCGGGATCAGATCCCAGACCCCAAGAAAAACTATTTTCCTGAGACATCTCAACTACACAGTGCTTTTCTCACTCTTCAAGTCCATATGGGGAAGTGCTACATGGGGCAGAGCTGTGATCTTCCAGTGCCCTTTGCAAACATGAAGGGTTCACGTTTCCATTAAGAGATGCTGGTCCTCGGTGTTGGAAGAAGGAAAGGATGTTGGACAGGACTCTGAGGTAGAGCAGAGTTGCAGAGTACCATATAGGGAGGAAGGCGGGTTAAGGGAAAGTAGGAAATAATGAATTTGAATGTAAAGAATTCAGTGTGCAGCTCTGCAGGCAGTACAAACTATTGCTGCATGAAACCTGGCACTGGATTTACAAAACCAGAGAGGCTCATACAGCTCAATACAGACACTGCAAGAGGTAAAAAGAGGCAGAGGTGTGCGTTCAGTGCACCAGATTTAGATGCTTTCAGTACTAACGAGTCCAAGCTCGCATTACTGCTCTGAAGTACCAACACAAGGCAGCATCACTTGTACAGTGCCATCTTCTTGCTCTGGTACATGTACATGTAGGCATCACAGAAGAGGCGTTTGGCCACTCCGTCCATGTCTCGGGGCTGCTCCAGGGCCAGCATGGCCAGTGGCAAGTCCAGGTATTTGGCAACTTCAGGGCACAGTGTTACGGTGGGGATGTTGAAGCCATTCTCACCACCTAATCCAGAAGGAAGGAGAAAAGTTCAAGTCCAAAGCACGTCCCAAAGGCATGAGTACCTACAGTGACTTAGCTGAAAGATCTGGAGGTCAGCACCACCATTGGGCAGGACAGATCTGTCCTATTGTCCTCACAGCCCACATAAGAAGTTCCTGGTCTGAACAGAGCCAGAGGACAAGACCACAAGGAGCAATTCATATCTCCGTGGGCTGGGCCTACACTGCTCTGGAATTGGTTCTGCTAGAAGTAGAATCCTAAGGCATGCAGGTGACTTCAGAAGAAATGAAGCTGTTAACTCCCCCAGCAACAGTCATTCATCCCAAAAGCTTCGTACTCCCTTCAAGCATAGTACAGAATCTTCCAAAACCATCCAACTTGACGCAGACTGAGCAGTGCCCACATGACGTGTGCTACAGACACCCACCATACAAACTCCTGGCTCCTATTGAAGCACCAAGCCTGTCACTTGTGATTCATAGTTAGAAAAGACCTCCAAAATCATCAAGTCCAACCCTGACCCATTCCCATCATGCCCATTCAAAGAAATATTGAGGTTGGAAAAGACCTCCAAGATCATCAAGTCCAACCCCCAACCCACCACCATACACCCATTTAACCATGACCTCACCGTGCCTGTCAGCCATGCTGTCAAAGAACATCCAGTGCTCGTTCTCGGGGCCATATTTCACAAAGGAGACGTAATGGCTGGTCTCAATGCATAGCACTGCAAAGAGCTCCATCTTCTCACGAGGAACCTCCTGGCTGCCCCGGGAACTGCGGCGACGAAATTCTTCTGGGACGTGCAGCCTGGTTGGTTTGTGTGTTTTGCGTCGGTAGTGGGAGTGAACCTAAGGAAAGGCAATGGGGTGGCACTGCTGAGCGGGCAGAACTGAAGCTGGCCTGCTGAAAAGAGGAGCGTGCAGAAGTCAGACCTTCAGTTTATTCTGCACTCAACTGCCTTGCATGCAGTTGGGTCCTCCCCAAGGAACAGCAGTGCATTGCAGGCTGACAGCAAGAAGCTTAGAGGGTCCAGCAGTTGGTCTGTGCAGGTTTGGGTGTTCATTCTGCTGGCAGATCTCATGAGCACCCAAAGGAACTTAATACCTGTTTGGAGCAGGTGCTGCAGAACTGCTTCAGACCCGTAGGTGAGAATATTTTGTCTTTGAAACACTTTGAACACTCCCAGGTGGCAACGTCACTGCACACACAGCACTCTCTGGGACCTGCAGAGGCAAAAGTGGTGATGCCTTCTCTTTGTCTCACCTGGAATCCCATTTGTCCTGTCAAAACTAAGCATTCAGGGTAGAGGAATCCCACCATGATCCCACCTTAGCTCCCGCCCACAACTCAGAGTGTTATCCCTTTGACAGCTGGTTGTTCCCAGTCTCAGCTGTAAGTTTCACCATCACCCAATAACTTACTGTCCAGCAGCAGATCGGTGATATCCAGCTCTAAGGAAGGGATGATCTTGCTGAACATTTTATATTCCTTCCCAAATCGTGGCATTTGAATAATGAAGCAAGATGGGATCTGGGAAAACAAAGGCAAACAATCCAGCAAATTCCAGAGACTTTTCTCTCCGTATTGCTACTGTGAATCACATCCCTTCTCAGGTCACACTCAGATTTCCCAAAATATCTTTTAGGTTGAGGCCAAGTATCCTCCTGCTTTGCTTTATAAGATGCACCAGACCCGCTGTAGGTTTGCTGGAAGACTACAATGTAGATGGAATGAAGCTGGCTCACCTCCACTAGCTTCAGATCTGAAGACAGGAAGGAGTGTTCCACCAACTGCTGCACATCAGGAACCACTAGGTCCTCCTGTTTGTCCATAAATATTTGGTAGCAGTAGCAGTCCTGCTCCTTCTGGGCTCCTGACCTGCAAGGAGTGGTCATGGGGAATGCTTACCTTGTGCCATTGTGAATCTCATTATCCAACACAGCACGACGTCCTGCTCCCAATGAGCATAACTCAGTTTCCCCTCTTCCATATTAAAGATATTTCAATTTTTTTATTTTTTTTTTTTTAAATGAACCACAATCAGAAAACTTCTTTTTTAGATCTATTTAGAACGGATTTCCTCCAGATGACCCTCTGCAGGGGGGCAGCAACACAGAGTCTCCTTTGTGCTCCACCTCTCTGAGCACTCCACAGCCTCGGGGTTGACTGACATCTCCACAAAAGAGCACAGAAACCCAACAATTCCCTTCTATGCTCCCAAACAGCATCGTTATTTTTGGCTTCCTTCAGCCTCTCATCCTCTTTGTAGAGTCCTGAAAAAAACTGGGACTGCATCCACAGAGTCCCTGTTTGAGAACTGTAGGATCTGAGCCAGATTGAGAGCCTGGACACATCCCAAAGCATCCAAAAGCACCGAGGATGAACTCTGTGTTTCTCAAAGCTCTCCCTAAGGATGACATGACTTTCTTCATCAGTTTTCCAAAGGAAAAGCCTCCAGGCAGAGCTTAGAAGTTGTTTTGGATGGGTCACTTGGGACAAATCGACAACAAATGATCAGATGTAAATAACTAATGAGACAAATAAATTGAGCTCAGCTAGAATTGTAGAATCATTAAGGTTAGAAAAGACCACTTAGATCACCTAGTTCAACCATCCACCTACCACCACTACTGCCCACTACACCAAGTCCCTAAGTACTGCATCCATATGTAGTATTGGACTGAAAAAAATTGTGTGGGAATGGGAACTTACTGCAGTCTCAAGAGTGGCTCTATTCCCAGGACCTGATGCATTATGAGGTTCAGGAACTCCTCCGGATCTGGAAGGATAGAGAGAAGCAGAAGTCACACCACAGGAGGAACCTGCCATACAGCAAAATAGATGTGAGCCAAATGCCTGACACTGGGCAATCTGTTGTAAAATACCCTCGTTGCACACGGAGAGAAATGTGATGATTGCAATCAGAGAGGTTGACTTAAATTACAAGCATTTTCTGCTTTATTTTAACCAAACTTCAGCCTTTGGGGAACCCCATATGACTTATCAGGACTCAAAGAGAAGTTGACCGTGGCAAAATGGACTCTGGCAGGTTCATAGGGACAGATATTTCAGGGCTAATTCAAAGACTAAAGGTCAAGGGAATGCTTCTTCACACAGTTCATCCTCTCCCCTCCTGGCAGCAGCTCGACGGTGGCAGAGATCCAGCAATTCCTCTCTCTCCATCAGACTTCAGGACAAATGTCAGTTAAAAAGCACATTGATATTTTCAGCTTTTAAGAACTCTTGCATGCGCAGTTTTACATAAACGAGCAGCACAGCAGGCAAATCAATGTATGTGCATGGGAGAAGCACACAATTAAGCTGTCAACACACACAGGAGCAGCCTGGAGAAGTCTCCAGAGAGCACATTACCTTTCTCTGCATTGGTAAAGCTTGAGCATTGGCCCTTCTCAGTTAGCTGCTCCCTCAGGTGCATCACACTCCTAGCCATTACAAAGCCATTCCTGGAAACAAGAAACAGCTACAGATGATCCCTGCAGTGTATTTGGTGAAGTATTGCAACAGGCTGCCCAAGGAGGTGGTGGAGTTACTGTCCTTGGAGGTGTTTGAGAACTGTGGAGATGTGGCACTTGGGGACGTGGTTTAGTGGGCATATTGGGGATGGGCTGATGGTTTGACATGATGATCTTAGAGGTCTTCTCCAACCTTACTGATTCAGTGATTCAATGATACAAACCACAGCACCACACACTACCCCAGGGTTGTATTTCTGCAGGCAGTTCCAGGGCACTGACCCCAAGGAGGATGCTAATGTCTTATTCTTAGGCAGGAGCAGCTCTCCATGCCTCTCTCACACCTAGCAAGGGAGGATGAGAAAAAAACTGGTATCTTTAATACAAAATCCAGACAATTTAGCTGCCATGCTATGGTCTACCCATATCCAGCCTTAAAGAAAATGGTTGATTAAGGACATGGTTTAATGGGTGATGAGTTGATGGTTGGACTTGATGACCTGAATAGTTGGAAAAAACTATTAGTGATTCGATGAGTGGTCAAGGTGGTGATGGGTTGGCAGTTGGTCTGGATGATCTTAAAGGTATCTTCCAACCTCAGTGATGAATGATTCTGTGATTTTGAGCAAGGAAACCTCACACATGCCGTGGGAGCCTTACAGTCAGGGGAAGAAAACAACTGGAAGAGGAGCAAGAGAGGAAGACTTGGATGGCAGGGGACACCCTACAGGTAACCCTTTCCCAGGCACCTTCTGGAATTGGAGGGCAGAAGTTATCAAACAGATGGACAACTTCCAGCATCCTCACATACTGCACTCACTTTCGGAGAGGGTTCACGATCTCATCCCGCAGAATGTTCTGGACATTCCTATCACACAATGGGAAGGGTGTGAAGAGCATGGAGTCCAGCACGGATGTACAGGAGAAGAGGCTGTGAAGAGAGAGCACTGTCTAAGTCTGAGCGAAGCGGTTGGAAGCAAACTGTTGTGCTTAGTGGCAATCAGTGGCTTTCATTTTCAACAGCCCATGCACGCAATGACAGAAGTGTGAGTGACAGTGCATCTCCACAGTGAGATAAACCACATCTGGCTTAAGGGATGCTTGGAGTAAGCAAGGAAACAATTAAGAGAGAATGAAATCTCGTACTTCGCAGCCAAAACTGCTCATGGGGGCACCACTGAGTCTTTTCCTCTCCAAACAGTGCCGCACAGTGAAGCTGGGATCTCCTGGGTGCTTTCTTTGCAATGTTTCCAGCCACTGTCTCCAGTGGCAGTCAGCGTGGTCCAGTCCAGAGAACTATGATATCTCATCACCCTGCACGACAGACACACAGAGTGGTACTCATAGGGGCACTTGAGTGTCTGAGAACCTCATGGATTACAGGAAGGAGACCAAAAGGCTGCAAACACTGAGGTTGCACCTCCACACAGTCACATTCTGCTCTACGCCAGGTCAATTTCCAGCCACCTTGGAAGCCTGCACTGCAGGGCACTGCCCAGTTAAGAAGCAATCATTTAACAATATGGCACTGCACAAGCAGGCACTTACCTAAAGAGTGCTGCATCCATGTAGCAGGAATTGCAGTGGCCCTGGATCCCCTTCATCCTTCCTCGTAGGATGTGCACCGCTTCTTCATTCCTTAGAGGAGGAAAACTGAGCGGAATGTGGGGAACATCTTCCTGCTTTCCTGCAAGAGAAGCAACAGAAGCAGTTCCCTTTAGCTTCCCACCTCATCTGGGTGCGCTCTGTCCTTCCCCAGTGCCTCAGAGCTCTGCTCTGCTCCTGCTGGGACTGAACCATGCTGGTATGGAGGTTTCTCCCTTTACTAATTCACCTACTGGAAATGGAGACAAAACCCAACCTTCCTCACCAGAGGAATTGCTATTGCTACGCCCTAGCAATCCTCAGTTACCCTTACAGGACCCTTCCAAAAAGGGGTACTCTATGATTCAGTGATTCTGCTGCCCCCACCATCACTATGCCAAGTATAACAAAGACAAAAAGAGCCACAGAGAAGCTGGTGTTGGGTTCCAGGCAAGCTTGGGATCTCCCTGTGGAATTTCCCCATGTCACTGAGGGATGTGGTTTAGTGGGCATGGTGATGATGGGTCCATAGTTGGACTTGATGGTCTTAGTGGTCTTCTCCATTCCTAATGACCTGATGATCTTTGTGGTCTTCAGTCTGAATGACTCTATGAACCTATGAAAGACATTCAGTGCAAGCCATGAACGCCCAGCCTCAGGGAGCATGTAGAAGCTCAGATGCATTACAGCTTGGATTCATCTGTCTGCCCTTGCCATGAATAAGAAGGATTTATGTCCTCAGCCCTACATCCTCTTACTAACTTCATCTTTCAAAGTAGCTTTCTCAATACGGTCTTTCTTGGTTTCTCCAGCATTCTTCCCTTGTAATCCAATCCCACTTTTTCAGCAGGCCCTTAAGACACTTCATTGTCCCTACTTCCAATTTTTGGGCAGTTTCCATGAGAACTTCCTTTTTTCTTTTACAGTGAACTCATTTATGTTTTCTAAATGGATAACTTATTGTCTTCTCTGCTCTTGGAGATAGTTCTTTCTATTAAAATGAAAATAATGACCTATTCTTCCCTTTGCTATCCTGTGAATGTCTTACCACATCAAGCTTTACATTAAATACTCTTCCTTTCTCCAGGTACCTTGATTACCTGACATCGTGGCCACAGTTACCAACTGCAACTCTCCAGAGCCATAACATCCATAAGATATGGTAGTGTATTTACTTGTCACATTCAGTTCTCAATAATCAAAGAATATCCCAAGTTGGAAGGGACCCATAAGGACCATCAAATGTAATACAAGACCTTTTCTTCTGCCTTGAAAGCCACAGGCAGAAAAATCCCAGCCTGCTTGCAGCATTCACAATGCCATGCAAGAACTGTTGCTCTAGGCTTTGCTGTTGCCTCTTAACATTTTCTGCTGGCTTCTCCAATGCCCCCATGCCACAAAAGCCTCATTTTCAGCACCACTAGCAACGCCTTGCCTTAGATTCAATGCCCACACAACTCTAGTCTACGTTCTCCTTGTGTTCAATGACTTACCATCTCTCACACTTGCAGGACATTCCCTACAAAGACCACCTCACTATCCTCAAAATGGACATCTCTTGGAACACTCAAAGACAATCAATGAAACCACCAATTAAAGACACTGCACACGAGGGGTCTCCACGTCCCAGCACGGCACAGTCTCCCCTCAACCCAAAGAGCTTACTATATTCTACGAGGCTCAGGTCGCAGTTGCGTGAGCACTGGAAGCGAACGTCGGGCTGGCAGGACTGCAGCTTCACAAAGATGCCACGCTTGGGAGCACAGTGGAAATAGTATTTACCCAGCCATTCGCCAGCAGTGACTCCTTTATCTTCATCCTAAGGATAAAAAGCATTGAGGAATGACACGGGAGCAGGTTTCCTATGAATCAAGTGCAATCCATCACATGGCTATTTAATATCTTAAGAGCTATGTGCAAATCTGGTGCTGTTCTGATGTTTTTATTTACTCTGGTTATGTTTTAAACCTGTGTTGACTCTGCTTGCAGGATTCACAATTATTCTGTTCTTACCAGTTCGACTCCTGCCATTTTGTGCTTGGTGTGGGGCAAGTACCCCAGCCAGCGGATGATTCCTGACACTTGGTTTCCTTTGTCCAAGGTGATCTGGACCATGGAGTTCACCTCCAGGGACGGGTTCACGCCTTCACACTCATCTCCGCTCTCACCTATCTGTTGTTTCACTTGTTTTGAGTGTTCCACTCCCATGTCAGACTCAAATGGTGGAAATAAACCTAATGGGTAGGAGAGACAGAAAGTCACCTAATGACAGACACCTCTACATGTCACTGTCGTCTTCCTAATGCCAGGCCTGTTCTGAAATTATAGATCATATATACAGCGGGTTGTCTTCAGGTTATTTTTATGCCTTTAGTGAGATGAATCAACTCAACAAAGAGTCTAATGACAGCTGTCCCCAGTCTGGCCATGGGATATCTAAACAGTATCTCTATATGGCAACAGAGAGCCCACCAATTTGTTGCCTTGCCCAATGACTCACACCATTGCCGCCGGCATCTGGGCCCTCTTGAGTTAATCTGGCATCAGGATGAGGCTGTGCTCCACCTTCTACAGCTAAATTAAAGACTCTTTAGTCAGTGGTGCTCTCCATCCTAGGAAGCATTTCTGTGCTGTGATCAGATGTTTCTTCCTGATAAATGGGAGAACGCAGCTCTCTTTGCCTAATGCAAAGCATGCCGTTCAGAACTCGAGACATTTCCACAGACCTTTTCAGCTCTCTGATTTAATCAGCTGGAGTTAGGCTGAAGCTTTTGTTAGACCTGAAGAAATAAATGTTAAATCCACAAGAACGTGCTCAGGACAGACACATCTGTTAATAACCTACTTTGGGAATGTAAGTCTTCCTTCACAACAGAGTCCATAGGAATCTCTCTGAAAATGTCAGTTGTACCTTCTTCTTCCTGAAAGGAAAGAAGAATACATCAGCTAAATGGTCAATCAGACACAAGGAATTCCTGGAATATGAATCCAATTTTTCCAAACAGGCCTAAAGAGTCTGCATGCAACCTTATATCTCTTTTGGATGATGCTTTCACTCCTCTTTAAAGCCTTAGTATTATAAACAATCAAATGAAAAAGAAACCAACAGGAAAAGACAGCGAGGCTGCTCTTACCGGGCAAACTTTAACGAACCATTGGGTTCCCTCCCTGTAAACTGCCATTGCTATTCCTTTTCTGCGGACATCGTCCACGTAGAAGCTCACAGCATCTCCCACTTTCACAGGAACCACTTCCTCTGCATCCACCTTTGGCTTCTGCTTCCCGTGGTCATTATCCAGCATGGAAATGAACTGGATTCTGCTGAAGGGCAGGAAGATCCCGCAATTGGGCTTACACTTGAAATACTCAATGCCAAGATAGGATCCATCGCTGCGCCCTCTGTTTTCACCCTCATCCTGAAAACAGGGCAGAAAGTGATGTCACATTGACAAGCATAAAGAGAAAACAAGCAACTTGCTTTGCTGTCAGGTGTTCAAGAAATGTAGCATGGAGGAATATGGCTAGCAGGCATGGCAGGGAATGGGTCAGCAGTTGGACTTGATGATCTTAGTGGTCTTTTCCAAACTTAATGATTCTATGAGTGCTGATGATGGCCTGATGGTTGTTGGGCTTGATCTTATGGTCAGTGATTCTGAGTGGGCATGGTGGGGATGGATTGATGGTCAAACTTCATGATCTCAGAGGACTTTTCCAACCAACCACTAGATCAGGCTGCCCAGAGCCAAATCCAGCCTGGCCTTGAATGCCTCCAGGGATGGGGCATCCACAACCTGCTTGTGCAACCTGTTCCATTGCTTCACCACCCTCTGGGTGAAAAACTTCCTCCTAATATAGAATCATAGAATCATAGAATCACCAAGGTTGGAAAAGACCTAAAAGATCACCCAGTCCAACCGTTCACCTATTCCCAATAGCTCCCACTAAACCATGTCCCTCAACACAACATCCAGCCTTTCCTTGAACACCCCCAGGCTCGGTGACTCCACCACCTCCCTGGGCATCCATTCCAGTGCCTGACCACCCTTTCTGAAAAGTAATACTTCCTCATGTCCAGCCTGAATCTCCCCTGCCGTAGCTTGAAGCCATTCCCTCTGGTCCTATCACTAATGACACGAGAGCAGAGGCCGACCCCCAGCTCACCACAACCTCCCTTCAGGAAGTTATAGAGAGCAGTGAGGTCTCCCCTGAGCCTCCTCTTCTCCAGGCTGAACATTCCCAGCTCCTTCAGCCTCTCCTCATATGGCCTGTGTTCCAGACCCCTCACCAGCTTTGTTGCCCTCCTTTGAACACGTTCCAGGGCCTCAATATCTTTCTTGCAGTGAGGGGCCCAAAACTGGACACAGTACTCGAGGTGCGGCCTCACGAGTGCTGAATATAGGGGAACAATCACCTCTCTGCTCCTGCTTGCAACACTGTTTCTGATGCAAGCCAGGATGCCATTGGCCTTCTTGGCCACCTGGGCACACTGTCGGCTCATGTTCAGCCGAGCATCAATCAATACCCCCAGGTCCATTTCCTCTACGCAGTCCTCCAGCCACACCGCCCCAAGCCTGTAGCGTCGCCTGGGGTTGTTGTAGCCGAAGTGCAGGACCCGGCATTTGGCCTTGTTGAAACTCATCCTCTAACATAAACCTCCCCTGTCTCAGTTTGAAACCATTCCCCCTTGTCCTATCACCACCCACCCTCATAAATAGCCATTCCCCCTCCTGTTTATATGCTCCCTTCAAGTTACTGGAAGGCCGCAATATGGTCTCCCCATAGCTTTCTCTTCTCCAAGCTAAACAATCCCAGTTCCCCCAACCTTTCCTCATAGGATAGGTGTTCCTGCCCTCTGATCATCTTAGTGGCCCTCTTCTGGACCCGCTCCAAGAGCAAGGATGCTCTACTACAAGCACAGGCTCCCCTGAGCCAATTGCCTGCTCCCCTACATCGTACCTGGTAACAGCCAACTGGCATCCAGAGTGCCCCCGTGTTCAATGCCATCCTTCAAGGCTCCTGGTGCAGACATTGTGCTTGGAGCCAGGAGGAGCTGGGCAGGGCATGAACCAGACCACACAGTCACTGTGGTCTTTTTCAACTCAGGCCATTCTACGATTCTATGATTATCCAGTTACCTGCAACTCCACGCCAAAGAAGAATGGGGTCAACGCATTCAAAGTACTTTTCTGAATGCTCCCAATGTAGCGGATGACGCCGGGGAAATGTTGACAGTCGACCTCCACCATCACTCTCTGGCCTGGCACGGCTTGCAGAGCTGCCTCAAGGTTCAGCCTCTCCAGGAAGCAGTTCAAGCGCTCATTGTGGCTGCTGATGCTCAGGAGGAAGGCGGCCATTTCCTCGCGCACAGGCTGCAGGATTTCCACGTTGACGGTGACAGTGGAGCTGTCATCCAGCATGACGACTCTCAAGAAACGAGTTGGGGGCACGTCGGCAAAGTTGCGCAGGTAGCTCCTCTCGGTGCAGTAGCACATGTTCCCAGCTTGGAAGTACTTGCTGCCATAGGCACAGTCTTCTGTCAGGATGTAATAGCAGTTCTCGTCTCCTACTGAAGGCAGGAGGCTCATCGTTGTTCCCCTGGGTGGTGAGAAATGAGAGAGGGGTGACAAACACAAGTTATCTCAGAACACTTCAGAGGTTTTCGGAGGTCTTGACCACAGCTTTGTATGCAAGCCCCATCTAGTTGGGTTTTGAGTATCTCCACAAACGGAGATCCCAAAGCCTGCCTTCTGCTTTTGTCCCACGTTAGATTTCTTGCAGCCTAACCAAAATGGAAAGTCTGGCTCTGTTCCTCTGTGCTATACTCCCAGCAAGAGCAGCACCTTGCACATCCTGTTCTGTACAACACTGCACAACCGGTTCTGTCTCATTAAGCTTTGCCTCCTGCTTTCTTTTGCAGCTTACTTGCACGAGCAGGGTGAAGGCTAAAGTGTTTGTAAAATTCTCCAAAGGAGCGTTCTAGGCTGTAAATAGAGTTCTTCAGTGTTAAAGCAGATAAATATTCAAAACACACTGCAACTACCTCATTACAATGTTAAAGCACTAAGACCTCCACTTTAAAAACACGCATAGTTGTAAAAAAAACGGAGTATCTGAAATATAAAAGTACAATTCTGCACATTTTTAAAAGTTCAAACTCAGTGCTTTTCACACAATTTACCACCTCCCTTCCCTCATTGGTACCATTCAGAGACAGGACACATTATTTTGTTACAACACAAAAAAGAAGTGAGCACTGAGATGTCTACATCCTACAAGTGGACAGGTCAACCCAACCTGCAGCTTACCAATAAACAGAATAGAAGAAATGTGCTTCTTTCCAGGAATTGGTGGCATCAGGAAGACGATACCAGTGTACTTTTTTTTATCTCTACATACATCCCTGTGTGTAGAAGATGTACATTATTCACACAGAATCACAGAATACCCCGAGTGACCCACAATGATCCAACTCCTGACTTCATGTTGTTCCAACTTCTTGTTGTTTTGTGTACCAAAATCCCCTGCTACATCTTCTTTTATCTCAGATTTTCTGCTTTTTTTTTTTTTTTTTCTGCAAGGACAACAAACTTCACTTTGTACTCAGTACTGTCAGGTCAGGAAAACTGGACGAAAGCACTTCCCTAACCTCTTTAAAGCACACCATATTTGCAATACACTCCCAGGGTAACCAGAAATAAAGGTGCATGCAGGTCATTTGGTCTGAAACTCAGTTCCCTATGTTCATGAGAACGAAGAAAGCACTAGGCTATTCAAACTATGTGGATTTTAAAGCACTAAATTGAGGTCTGCATTTCACTCCATGCCCCACCAGCATAGGAAGCAGTAGGAAATGAGAGGGTATGGGGTCTCAGCGAGCAACCCCAGAACCTCCACAGGGAAAAGCCATCCTAGAGGTGAGGCAGGGGGTGATTTTGATGAAGGTGGGGTTCAGGAGGTTCAATTGACCGAGGTTTGGCCCAAGGGTGGTGGGATCCCACTTGGGGTCTGCCCCATTGCAGTTGGGTATTAAGTGCTGTGATGGAAGGAGGGGATGGGGACACGGTGAGGGCCATCCTCAGGCAATGCGAGGCTCGTGGAGGGGGGGGGAAGGGGGAGGGTCCTGTGGTAACGATGGATATGGGGGAGCAATGTGGAAAGATGGCAATAAAGGGAGATAAATTGGGTTTTGGGGCCAATGTGGATGGGGGAGACAATGGGGAACAGAGACAATGGGGAACAGTGGGAGGGGGGCAATGGGGATGAGGGGATAACTGAGAGAGAGGGGCGGGGGTTCCAAGTGGGAGGAAGAGGAATGGGATAAATAGCACTGGGAGGTATTTGGGAGTGCCGGAGAGGCCCCACTGCGGCGGAGTCCCCTCTGAACGCCTCCCCCCCCAGGCCCGGCGTCCCCTCTTTCTCCCCGTTCTCACCGCTGCCGCCGTTCTCTTCCGCATCGGTACCACCGAGCGGAGAAGGAAGTGGGCAGAGCAGCACTTCCGGTCGTCTCCCTTCCCACCCCCTCCGCTCCGGACCTCCAGCCAATAGAAAGCGGCAGTGGGGACCGAGGAGTCCAATGAGGTGGAAGGGGCGCTGTTAGTCCCTCCTCTTTCTGTGTACGCTTGATGCCGCTTGTGTTGCGTGTCGTGTACGCTGCTGTGGGAGCTGCGGTCTCTCCTGTCGCACGCGGCCTTTTGTCCCCCACGGCCCCGTGTTCCTACAGCCTCGTCCCCGTGGCTCTGTGTCCCGCATAGTCCTTGGTCTCCATAATCGGCAGAGCTCAGTGTCCCATAGTGCCGTGGCTCTGCGTTCTGTGTTCCTGCGGCTCTGTCTCCATGGCCTGCTGTCCCCTAGTCACATAGCCCTGTGCCCTGCATCCCCTATCTCGTGTTGCCATGGCCCTGTGTCCCCACAGCCATGTTTCTTATGTCCCCACAGCCCCCTGCCCCGCGTCCTATCACAGAATCACAGAATCATAAGGTTGGAAACGACCTGCAAGATCATCTAGTCCAACCACCCTCCCATTCCTATTATGTCCTAGAATGGGTTGGAACAGACATCAGTTGTGACCCAGCACTGGTACAGGAGACAATGGTGGCAGGATATAAATATTGGCTAAATAGATTTATTTTCATACAAAGAATACACAGATTCCCCCAGCCCCCCCACCCCCCCTCCCCTATGGGGGCATCCCAACCTGGGAGACACCCTGAGATGTCCCCAGTCTCTGTTCTCACCAGGGGAGGGGGGACAGCAGGCACCACCTCTGTGGGTTTCACGGGTTCCCCCAGCAGGACCAGGCCCCACGCTGGCAGTGGGACCAAAGGGAACATGTTGGGGACATCCCCATTCTCTGCACTGGTTCTCTTTTATGCTCCAATGAAATACTCCATTGGAATTTTGTTTGTTTAGGAAATGCCCCAAACACCGGGACCTAACTCTGGGGATCTGTGTTCATCTCCCTGGGTGAGCTTTGGGACACCCCCATCCACGCAATGCCCATATTGGGCGTCTCCTTGCTCTCTTGTTTTGGGGACATCTCTGGATATTTTGGGGTCACCTTGTGCCCTAATACTGTGCTGAAACAGAGCCCTCCCCACACTATATGTACACGCTGGATAAAAGAAGAAAATACAGATATTTATAGTGGGGGTCAAACACCCCCTGCTGCCCCCCAGACATCCCCTGTGTCCTCATCCCGGTGCCCATCTGTTCCCAGCAGGGAGGTGCCTCGTCCTGGGCCAATCAGAGACTGGGAGAGCTCTTCTGTGCCTCAGTTTCCCCATCAGTTGTTGGGCCGTGCCTCAGTTTCCCCATCGGTTGATGATCTTGTCATCACCCCACTAAGGAGATGTGGGATGAAGAGGAACCACACAAGCAGCCATCCCACAGGGTGACATGGGGGACATGGGATGACCCAAAGGCATCCTCCAACAGAGAAACATCACAGGCAGACCTATGCAAAACCCCTTTTTTCCCCAGATTTCTCACACGTCACTATCACCCACCCTTGGGGACACAGCGGTGTTGGCATCCTACAGCACCTGGTGGCTTTGACAGTGTTGAAGGCTGATATTGGGAGTGGGGTCTGTATTTGGACACCCCACCTCCTGCTGTCCCTTTACAGCGGGAGAAGAGATAATGGGGGACAACAGGGGGATCTGCCTTGAGCTTGCCCAGATCAGCTGCGCTTGGTGACCATCTGCCGGTCCCTCTTCTTCTTCTCCATCAACCTGGGATGGAGCAGGGAAGTGCCTTTAGAGTCCCACCACCCCAATGGACCCACCACCCCAATGACTCCACCACCCCAAT